TTATGAGGCATATTATTTCACTTTTTGTATCCTCAAACACCAAACACCAATTGTCCCACTGGACGTGCCAAATTGTTTCTCGCTGGTTGTTCCTAACAATTAAAAAAGGTTCAGACGATTGTGTAAAGAACATACCTCTTGAGACAAGTCCCAAAAATGAGTGTTTTATTGGCGATAATTTACAATTGGAAATAAACAGAATGTCTCCAAGGGGCGTAAGCACACGAGCACTAAAAGAAGTGTTTAAAGTTAAATTAAAAAATTGAAATTACGTATTCTCTGTTTAGAGTGTTCGATTCAGGGTCATTTCTCTATGTCTTCTCTTCCTTTTTATACTTCCTTGATAATTTTTTCGTGACAAACCGTTTGAAAATTGTCTGATTGCTCTATAACTACCCATTTTCTTCATGATGGCTGACTTGTCGTAGAACTGCCATCTCTAACCGTTGCCATTACTCTCGTCGTTCAACCGTCTGCAACTGGGATCCTTGAATCGTGGAGTGTGATAAGATTGCTCAATAACTGCTTTAATAACTGCTGTTCCGGATAATCATAATATCTTGTGTTTCCTAAGATTCTGGGCGATTCGAAGGTTTGGGCGAGAACGGGGTCCTCACTCTGGGTGATCATAAGGCACTACATTCGCTCAGATTCTGGGCATCTTGCAAGTTTGTGCGATGATGTTACTTCGTTCGTGAGCCTCTACTACATTCATCAATGGTCCTATTTGAGCCTTTATTCTGGACTTCCCAATTGAGTTTCATCCATTGGACTATTTAATTTGGGCTACATTTTTTGTGTGTCAACACCAAAATACATTCTTTCAAAATAATGTGGCTCAAACATACCATTAATATTGAGATTTTAAGATTTTTTTTTTCTAAAAATCAATAATTAATTTTAATCACATATTTTATGAGAGCCACAATTTTTATTAATTTTTCAAATACATTTCATAAACTTTGTCAAAATCTATTAAAAATAAATTTTTTAGTTATTATTTATCACAATAACAAAAACTTAGGGGACATTCTCTTCGTGTTTCAGTTTTTTGTTTGGAGTTTTGAATTTCTTTTGTATTTTGTGTTTTGAGCGTCTGTTTTGAAATTGGTGAAAATACGTTCTTTTTGTCATTCTAGAAAACTGTTTCTAAAAACAAAAAATTAGAAAATGCGTTTACTTTGAAATTTTGANCTGAAAATGCGCTCTTTTTACTATTCTGAAAAACTGTTTTTGAAAACATAAAAATGAAAATGCGTTTACTTTGAAATTTTGAGAAAATTTTTTATAATATTTTATTCAAGAAATCTCATTATTCAATAATTTTTTGTAGTTCAATATTAATATAGTACTAAATAACATAAATTTTGAAGTTGCTATCAAATTGTTTCTATGCTCATCAATAATGGCGTCAAGAATAACATCAAGTTTACGCTGCATCTTCAACATCTTAAAATTATTCAAACTGATCAAATTCAACACTTTCATCTAGGGAAATAAATCACATAAATCAAGTTGTCCTGCTAAAGTTACAACTTTCTTTATAAACCTTATTTGAGTGTCTGAATGTTATAAAACTTGTACACAAGAAAATTTTCTCCATTATAAATCAAATGGTGCTTTGGAAGTTGATCGGGTCAATTCAACTAGCAACATGCCTAATCCTTTCTGATTGAGGCAAATGATGGAACATTTTTCAGGCTTAACATTTCCAATATAAATACCATTTCAAATAATAAATAGGATTCCAGTACTTCTCCAACCATTCTTGTGATGGTCCAAACGAACACTATATGTCCCTATTGACTTACTATCACACAAGCAACAAGAACTGGGGGGAGGGGGGGTGCACCAAAACGAAAAACAAAGAAAAATGCATTGAAAAGCAAGCATTTTTCACATAGCAAGTACGTTTGTTTTGATAGAGTTTCACTAAAACTGTATATGATCAAGCCATTGTCTTAAAATGTAATGAGGTCTTTTCATCATCATCCCAATACACTATGGGACCAATACATCAGCAGTAAAATGAAATTTTGTTTCTAGAGAAAAACTCAAACAGGCAAACAGTTGTATCCTTTATACACTTGTCCAAAATCCATCTTCAAGTGCTCAGCAAATTAACGCCTTAAGCTCTCAACGATGTAGCTTGCATACAGGTCCCTACACAAGGAAAAAAAATTGAGAAAAACGAGGGAGTAATCAGTTGAGGAATATTTGATGCATGGAGAGTAGAACTACACAGTACAATGAAAAAAAAAATTATTTTTCTTCTTTATTAGTACAATCTTGTTTGCCATACTAAACATGTCATTAAGGTCGGGAGCCAAAAGACCTGTTTGCTTTTAGAACATCATAACATGTTGCATTGGTATTTATAAAGCAAAAGAAGGACCACATACATGGAACGCTGGATTGCTTCATAGGCTTTTGTGGCTGGCAGAAACTCGTCGACTGCAACATCCTTGTTCTCATTTTTCTTGTCTGATCGATAGTTAAGAAATTATAAAAAATTTTGAATGATACTGCAAACGCCATTATCAAAATACAGTTATAGAACAAGAACATTTTGGCAACCCATAAACAAAACCATCAAATTCTAAATAAAGATAGTGTTTTGATACAATCTTCAAAGAAGCGGCGAATTTCAGCTAAACGATGGGGCGGTAGCTCTTTTATGTCAGTGTAGTGCCGATATTCTGGGTCATCTGCACAGACAGCAATAATCTTGTCATCCTTCTCTCCCTGTTACCAAAAAGAAGTTAATATTTTTTGGAATGGTAACAATGAATATTATCTACATGGAAGGTCAAGGAATAATAAATGTACCTGATCTATCATGGGCATGAGGCCTATTGCCTTTGCCCTAAGAAAGCACCCTGGAAGAACTGGCTCCTGTTTGAGTTCATAGGCATAGTTGAGTGACAAGCAAAATCAGTCAATAAGATACACGTTATCTTGAGAAGTTTAGGACATTTTAGTCATCGTAGTATCAAAAGGTAACAATTAGTACATTTTACAAACTACATGCAGTCTGCTAGCGTTCAGTTAGAGTTAACCACAGTTCATGCACACAATCTACTACCATGCTTGTGAGATAAGAACTATAGTTAATAACTGATATTTGTGAAAAAATTCCAGATGGAAGTGCACACCTGCATGATGACCAAGACATCCATTGGGTCACTGTCCTCACAAAGAGTACGAGGGATGAAGCCATAATTGTGTGGATACACAACTGATGAGTAAAGAACACGATCAACCTGCAGATGCAAACACATTGAAGTACTTCATAATTAACTGACATGCAATAGATCAAAGTTAATAAGCCAGGTACCTTGATTAGACCAGAATTCTTATCAAGTTCATATTTCACCTTACTTCCCTTGCTTATCTCAACCACCTGCATTGATTAACAAAGTTTCTTGAGAATACGAGATAACAAAGTTTCTCCATAACTTACTCAGGGGAGAAAAGGAAACATAATATGCTATAAAGCATGGGAACAAAGAAAGCATAACAAAATGGGAACAAAAAAGAAATCATTACTATGAAAATATAAACATAACAAAAGTGCCCAAATGTCACCAATCTTAGGTGCTTGTACACTTAAGCAAAGATGAGTAACTTCAAGCATTGTAGAAACACAATCTACGTTCAAAGACTGAAAGCTTAAAGGCAATTGAGAGCAAGCAAACCATAAGGCCCACTCAACCTGTATGTATTCCCCTGCCTGGCTCTACCTGAGTGGATTCAGAACTTATATCAAATCAAATGAGTAAGCNGTGTGGATTCCCCCTGCCCGGCTCTACCTCAGTGGAGTCCGAACTTATATCAAATCATATGAGTAAGCAGTAGACTTCAAGTCTACAATTTCAGATATCAATAGTAGTGAATATCCATAGTCGTTTTCCAATATTCAATTGATCATGTGGAAAGGAGCCTAGACGGAACCTATACGAAGGAGCAAACAAGCAACGGTAACTACTATACTTGACTTGCCCACAGAATTGACTATATTCATTTAAAAGAATGACACAATTGACAGTATTTTGATCTAACTGCATTTGGCACCCAAAACTCTTAGACACTATAGCCACTTCCAGGGGTTTGTTAAGATGCTAAAGAAGCATATATGCAATTATGGTTCACGCAGTGATAAGAGAAAGAAGTACAGAGTTTCATTGGACTCTAATACAGTAGACTCAGGCAAGACAGAACCATAGAACAGGTTTGGGAGTGCTAAAGCTCCTAATACATATAACCTTAGTCATGAGATGATATGCAACATTTACTCAATCTAATAATGTAAAATGAAAAACAGCACTTTTTAACATTCATGATTAATTGTCGAATTATGAAAGTTCCTCCTACTTTTACACTAAATACAAGAAAAACGTTGAAAGTTAGATGAACTTCAATATTCTTACACAATTGAAAATTATTGGTGCTCCAGGTCCTGCATCAAACAATAAGAACAAAGTGTTAAACTCATGAATGCCATTTGAGCTTTAACATGAGAGTAGAGCACAAAGTTATATACCTATCTCAAGATCATGCCAAGGATGGGCTGCAACAGTTTTCCTGGACATGGAAGAAAGGATCCTTTCATTAAGAGGTGGATGTGATGGTTTCTTAGAATCAGATTCATGTGGCGTGTCAATATGTGAAGCCATAACTGCAGGCTGCATATTAGGACATAGATCAAAGTAAGCCTCCCACATCATTGTCAAAATACATTCTAATTACTAAGAAAGACGTTCTAACACAGAGTACGAACCATGTCAAAGAGAAGAAATTATACAAACTCATCGCCCACCATAACAAAGAGTGTAAGTGTACACAATACTATAGCCTACAAAATGTACTATCAGATCAAACCATCGCAGTAAGAAAGCAGTAAGAAACTATCAAAAAAAATAAAACACCTCGAGCATGCAAAAGTACACACATTCAAAATGTAAACTTCTTCATGAACAAAATTTATCGGAAAGAATCAAAACGTCTAAAATCGAGCAAAAAACTACTCATAACATACACCAAAGACTCCATAACGAAAGATCTATGGGCGTAAACGGTTAAAAAATGGAGCAAAAATTTTCATATCCATACGCCTAAACTAGATAAAAATAAAATTAAATCTACACAAGTTATTTACACGAAGTAGTATATAAAAAAGATAGCACTAAATATATCTAAAAATACAAAATATGTATCATTAAAAACATCTACAAATCTCAAAGTAAATGAAAATCGAACGAACATACCCGATCAAAAGCAAGCGTCGGTCAGGTAGAATGGTAGAAGAGCAAAGAGGCACAGATCTCAAAGAGAAAAACGGAGCGTAAAAATGAAGCAAGAGGAGATATTTATAGATTCATTTGGCTTTTAGGCAGAGAAAGAAGAAGAGTTAAGGCAAGATCCGGTGCGTTATGCTTTCCCGCTCTGTCCCGTCGTTTGCCATTTAAGCACCATCGAAGGAAAATGGGAAACAAGGAAATACAAATTTACACCATTGGTCCAAAATTTACTCTAACTTTAAAAAAGAGTAAGTTAATCCAACTTTATTATATCGCACAATCAATTCCTCAATTAATGGGAATAAAATGGTCAATTTGATAAGGCTTTTAAAAAGTCAAAAAGAAATTTTAAGATTCAAAAATCAAAAATTACTTGTTTAGCATGACGTTTAAAAAGTTAAAAATAGCTTTTGAGATTCAAAAGTTGCGTTTGAACCCATTTGACTAATTTTATGAAAGTTCTTTATCTTGTTAGAAGAGTTTTTAGAGGAAATTGGTTCAATATGATTTTTTCTAAAAGTACTTTTAAAATAAAAAAACCTTTTAAAAATTAGTTTTGAAACAAAAAGTAGGGTAGTTTTCTCATAAAACTTTTTGACAATAAGTAAAAGTCATATCAAACGGTGCCTTGATTAATTTTATAGAAGTACTTCTAATTTGAAAGACTTTCAGAGAAAGTTGACCAAAGGTGACTTTCATTAAAAGATCTTCTGAATAGTAGCCTCCATTTGAGTACAATTATCTAAAAATTCATTTTTTTTTTCTCAAATTCATTTTTAATTGCACATTCTTGCAACAAAATAATTTTGTATACAAAACTAGATTTTCGAACATTTTAATTACACATTCTTCAAAATACGTCACTATTATAAAATATATTTTTTCCCCAAAAATGAAACTCAAGCATAGCCTAAAGTTTTTTTAGAAATTAGTCTATATTTGTCT